GATACCTGCAGTACTATAGTACCTGCGCTATAGTCCACCAGAGCCAGACCCAGACCAGACCAAGACCGGACCCTATGTACACACAGTAGTAGAGTCAGAAGATGCGATCACTTGCTGCCGATTAAGGACATTTCCCATTTCGGTCTCCGTCTCATGCACCGAGTAGTATTTACTATTTATTCATTTAGGTCGTCTAGAAGACATCTTGTCCTGACTCTTCCCACCGCACTTGACACGATTCATGATAATAGCATATCTATGATCCCAAGATTAGCGTCTACGGGTTGCCCGCTAGTCATTTTTAAATCGTCTATTTATTCTGCACTTCACTGGCCGGTAATCTACAGATCATCGAACCGGCGGATTTGGTGGGTTTCGGGGGCGTTTCGGGGGTTTTCGGCGTCTTCATGTCTAACCACCTTGACTAACACCGACATATCTAGTGTCTAATCTAACGAGAACACCTGCTTACTACTATTGCATGTGCGCCTATCCTTCAATAATTCAGTGTTTAGAGTATTTTCCTTAATTGCCGTGCGTACGAACACATGTTCTCGCATCTCCTCCTCCACTTCTCCAAGTCGTTGGGGGGTTAAATATGCCATCAAGGTATAACAGAGATATATACACTACAGTACATAATGGTACACTGCCCTTCCCTATCTCGGCTTTACACATCGGAATCTCTTGACGCAGAATGCGCAACGGCAAGCTGTTCGAGATCTGGTCCTATTTGCTTATCGTCGGCTTAAAAGTATAGCACGGACATCTTGATCATGTATATATATATCCTAAGCAAGGTGGGAATACCTCATTAAGTCAATAAGCCGAACGTAACACTCGTATACCTACTACTTCAACACCTTCGACTCTACTAAAGCACCATATCGAAGAGAACGAACCATCGAATAACTACTTGACCACCTGCCACGAGTTTTATATATGTTTATTTATGACTAAGCAGTATTTAGGAGTCAAGATTCAGAAATATAGAATACATCGCGTAAGAATAGAAGGGGAAAACGAAAATTGAAATTCCCAATCACGAAGTTCATACACTAGATAACATGTAGCCCTGTAAATCATTTCCACTCGTGATTACTTCCCTCAAAACCTCTACGGCCGGTTTTATTGACCTCCTTATTACTTTTACCTTGACGCTCCGAACGCTAGGAAATAGGAATTCTTTACATAAGTGTATCGAGATTGTCGTTGATAGACTCCTGAGGTTGGAATACTGTGCTGGGATCTGGATCATCTCGCTTTGGGTTACTAGTAGTGTGATCAACCTAGGCGACTTCTCTGCTCCCCGTGCGTCGGGTCTGTGTTTTCGCTGTCCTGCGGTTCGACGGTTGCCTCAGAGACCTCTGAGTTTGGTGTCAGTTTGTGGGTTTGGGGCAACTCGATGCCCCCCTCGTAGGAAGCGGTGGGGTGAATAGGATGTAGTGGTCGGCTACTGGGCGTAACTGTCGGGCTTGACGCATCTTCTGCTTGTACAGGGTCCTGTGCGGTGTTTAGTACCTCGAGAGAGCTTCGGAAGTCGTTAGGGGTACACTTTGTTCTGGGCCTGATGATTGAAGAACAGGGTGATCTGGATTTGTTATGTCCAAAGATCCTAGAAGTTCATTTGCCTGCGTACCTGGGACCGTTTTAGTACACTTAAACCATATACCAAAGCCCGCCTCCTCGTGCGCTAAACGTTGTAGTTGTAGAGTGGCATTACTGGTCCATTCCAAGTGTTCGTACTTTTTGTATCCCCCTTTTTCATATAGGAATGCGGATACTGGCTCTAGCAAATAAGACGTTGCAACTAAGGAACCTCCGACTGAAAAGATGAAGATAAGACCAAAAAGACTAAAAGACCCGTATGCAGTAGATCGTATTTTCTGGGACTAATCAGCATCTGCTATCATGGGAGTCGAAGAGCAAAGGTCATGGAAGGTCTTAAACCTACCTGACTATCACACAACTTCTTCAATTCCGGTGTGGTGTAGTTGTTATGGGCAGCTGGTGCTGCCGGGATCTGTTAGGCCGTAGGCATAGCTTAGAAATAATGCTTGGCGTGCTGCCATTGAGATATCTCACCAATGCGCTACATCGAGTTGCCATTGATCCGGTTCCAAGTGATGTTGAAATCCATGATTCAGATATCCCTGTGAGAGTAAACTCGTTGGCCCAAGTTGTTGTATTATATGTAAAACGTTTGAGTCAGTAGTAGCTTCGCTGAAATAACCGAAAAGAGCTGCTGCACTGTTCGTGCCGTTGGCGGTTATAAAATCGATATAGGTAGTATCGAAGAGGTCAACGACGCCGGTGGCAGCATCGCGTAGACTAGCCAGGGGGCCACATTTTCGAGTCCCCGATATAGAATTGCAGAACTGGTATTGGTCGGTGCAGCCTAGTGGAGATGATGGTTCCGAAGATATACGGGAATACTAGATGATTCGCTTACACTAGTAAATAACCAATTCACAGGCATGGTTGCTACTCGATACCACGGATCATTCGAGGATTCTGTAAAAGAAACTCCATTCCCAGAGAGAAAATGGATATCGATGTCTGCATCATCTCGAAGGAGGGAGTCGATTGGTAAGAACGACGAGTCTTTATGAACTTGTCTGTCTTTAACTAAGAAACGAGGTGATCCGCGGAGCCCAAGTTAGTAGAAATTCAATGCATGCATATATGTGTCGAACCGTGTTCAACTTACTGTATATCGAAGTTTGCGTAATACACAACCGAACTATTAGACTGGATGAACGAGTACTGGGTTTCAAGAGATTTAGCTGCATACATGTAGTCGCGAGCTCCTCTGGTAGGGTCGGTGTCATTGCCGTAGTGATATACAGTTGACTCTCCGAAAGAGGTGTTGATTTGACTTGTATAGCCGGTTGTAACCATTGGTGCGCAGTGATAGACGTTCCTCCACCAAAGGCGCTGATCCGGTGGTGTATTCAGTCCAAAGTGGTCATAGCTACTTAAACAGCTTGAATCAATACGTATATTCGAAGAAGGGTGTCGGCATAGACCAGAATGAAACGGGCATGCCGCATGTCGATCGACGTTGCCAACAATTTTCTTAGTGACAAGCCGATTGCAGTCTAGCAAGCCTCCGCCGTTCTCCGAATAGCACTGTTGGGCGTAGTTTGCTGCGCTGTTGACTCTTTCGGCAAAGTAAGCTTCACTAGAGGGGGATCCGATAATTTCGCCTGCGAAGAATACCCCCCCACAGTTCATGCTTTTGATCAAAACCTCGTCCCTAATTCCGGTAGAGATATAGGAAGAAAAGCCACCAGCAACAGTGAATGAAAAATTACAGATAGTCGCTACAGCGGTCGTAGACAGTGGGAGGAAAAGTCCTGTTGAGTTTTTACTAACCCATAGGACATAGCTGAGCAATCGGATGCCATCTTCGGGGGTCGACGAATTCCGTAGAATGGCCTAATTGTAGTTCGTGGGTTAGTATAGGCTTGATCGGATTATATATACAATGCCTCTTAAGAGCTTCGGGCAAACATATAAAGTAGGCTCTGGTGTAAGGCTTCGAGAAGTGACTACTTCTTAGACAAGAAAAAAAGGAGGAATGAAGCAAGATGACAACCGAGAATTGTCGAGGCTCACCCGATGTTGGTGGTATATCGCATTTTGTGGGGTTTCCTTCGAACATGATCGGTGGGTAGCAAAGCATATGAGTCTCCAAACACGTATTGCTACAAACGCGATGAAGAATGCCGTGAATGCAATAAGGAGATCTGCGTCTCCCCGGCGTAGTGTCAGAGTACCTCCTAGTATTTGCCCGCGGGACCAGTTAATCCAGGTCCCAACGTACACAGGGTACTGGCCGGTTGGGTTTGGGCCAGTACTCATAATGACTAGGAAGGATTCAAATAATAGGTGAACAATGTGTATATGATTAGGTTTAAAAGTTATCTCGGGTTTGGCGTACGAGATTATTTGAAGTTGACTGCTTTTTGTCGCGCAGAAGTGAAATATATACTGTTAATTCCATCATGAAATGATAACGTCGTTTTTCCGTGACACGTTTTATGTAGGCTGCCCGGGCTGACTACGGCGGCGGAAACAAAATATATTTCAGAGGGTGGCATATCCAGAGTGATAGAAGCAGTATTGTAACGTATAGCATACAGTAGGATACAATTAAAACCTGGTCCTCCTCCTAGAATACCACAGATCGACCTCGTTTATGCCTTGCCTATAGCTGTTACTGTTAGTTTAGCTCTCCTGAGGGTTACTGTTATCTAAATCCTTGACAATATATGAGCATTCGTTCTAGGCTTATATAATACCAAAAATAGGAAAAGGCTTCTCCTGTACCTTAGGCTCTGCGGACATGTTTTCGCTGCGCGGAGGAGAAGATGATAGGGGCGGCCAATGTAACACATCATTCTTTTTATACGGACAGACAACTTCCATAAGGATCGGATCTTAGTCTAGAGTGGTATCAAATGAAACTTAGTGCTCTAAGCAGGTTCACCTGTACAGCAATGCTGATCTCTCCCCAATTAAGACGGGCTCTATTCATCGACTTCCACGGCCTGTTGTACACGATTAGATGGACACTACAGCTCTCAATGCCGGTAGTTCCGGTATTGGCTTATCGCCGTTGCTTCCATCCGTATTAATAGAGTTAGTTGCCTTACTAGTTTATATACAGCACGGGCCTAGGCCCGTGTAGTGTCGACGGTGGTCTCTGGGATTGAATTCTGCATGACTCCATGACGATGGGGGCTGTTACGCAAAACAACTACGCGAACCGCGTTGCCCGTGAGCTCCTGCTGCGAGCCTTAATGATAAATTTATAGCCGTGCGTTAATCCCGTGAACAGACCGCGACATAATTCGTATGCGTTACTTAACAATTGGTTGAAAACCCGAAATTAGTACTGTCCATCGTATCTGGCCTAAGAAACGAAGCACAAGGTTAGGAGTAATAGAGGTGACTTGAATATGGGTTAAAAGAAAAGTAAAAAGTGAAATTAACTCCGAATCGGGGAATCGAACCCCGGGCTTGACGGGACTTGTCTATGTCGCACACGATTAATGTGTGATATTTTGAGAGCGTCAAATGTTAGCCACTACACCAATTCGGATTGATGGAGGCTCAGGTCTTTAATCTGACCTACCATGTACAATAGTGGGGGCCAGACTGACTCGCTGCCTGGGCAGTTTTGGGGTAGGTGGCCCACAGGCAGGTAGGCTACACTATATACAGTACTATGTAGCCTGCAAATCAGGTTGTATGAGGTAGATAAGGTGGCCGAGGGGGCGCCGAAGAGAGCGCCGAAAAGCACGGCTGCCGAGTATGCAGTAAAGGAGTAACTAGGTACCTCCTATTATAGAAGAAATGGTCATATAACACACAAATATTGAACAAAAAAAAATTAAAAAAAATTTTGCTCCAACCTTTTTATATTTCGATAGTCGCTTCGTTTTCACTCGCGCTCCTGATATGTGGGCGAAACAACATTTAGAGACAACGGCAAGTCGATGACTTGCAACATCAATCCATTAATTAATTGGGGGCCATTATCATCGCCGCGGACATAGCAATGGGCATAGCGATGAGAGGTAGGTAGTACGCAGTCTATTTCCAATCGCGGCCATTCAAAGGAGTTAGAAATAACTTTCTCACCTGAACCGTATGCTTATGGCTACCTAGATAATGCGCTACAACCACCTACGTAGCGTTTGGAGACTCACTCACTGCGTAGAATCATACCTAGGGGATCGTATTAAGTCTACCTAGGTTGGAGGTAGTGTATATGTAGGTTAGGCAGCCATACAACGTCGAGGTCATCGGCCTAAATTGCTCTCTAGTTCTATGGTGTAATTAAACAGAATCCTTTTTTCGGGGTGGTTCAGAGGAACGATTCTCTAGCCCGCATCCCCATCACTATATAAAATGGAAGTTGCTGGATATTATTATTAACACAGCCATTAAACTCCTGGGTTTAACGATGTCTTCGGCTACCCGGTGATAACACTATGGATAACAACATTCACTTTGGAAAACGGACTAACTGGCTATGAGCGCCTCATTTTAGGTAAATGTGGTCATGGTCAGGGAATTCGGATTTCTCGTTACTTTTACAGTCTCTTACGTAGACTTGGTTACCACCCGCTTGGGGAGAATCGTCGGCCTAATCCTACACTGTTATCGTTCAAGTCCAGCCCCCAGCCTACAATGCTCCACCAACGTTGGAGAAGCCCTTCTTCTTGTCACTCATATACCCTTTTAGGGGCCTGTTTGATCTGTATACGATTCCTGGCTTTGGGTTGCGTCGTTATAGCCACAATAGATAGCGCATTCTCTTTTAGTATCTCTATGGAAGTTAAGGACAGCTAAAAGGTGGTCACGATTTACGTCAATGCCAAGGATTATAACCTTGGGTTACCACTTACATATCATAAGCTGGACGAGACTGCTAACTATGCTCGGCAATATATCCCTTATTGGAAAGCTTTGACTGACCCCGAGGGAAGGCAGAGCTTAAGAAGTTCATATCCGGACCCCCTCGAACTCTAAAAGTGTTTGCAGCCTATTTATTAGTTAGTTCACTGATAAAGAATCAACTACTACTTTAAATATAGAGTTTGTAGCTTACGCACTTAAGCTTTTAGACGGTGATTTACAGCGTGTTGGTGCTTTTAAAAGCTTTAGGATAGAAATGGAAAAAGGGCGAAAAGAGGTCCTGGGGGGTCTCTTCCTAGTATGAAGATATATGAATCCTGAATAGGTACCTTTAATTTAAAGCGTATTAAAATGGAGCTTCGCCGGCAAAGCTTTCCATTTTAGAGACAACCTGCTTGGCACTACACGGTCTTTTATATTTAAGAAATCTAGCGCCTTTTATTTTCTTGTCACTTAGGTGTTAAGCTAGTCTTTCTTGGACTTCCGTTGAACGTACTGAGCGGAGCAACTTCAATTCCCTCGTTGGATTGAGCGAGTTGCTTTCTACGTAGCCTGATCTCGACAAGTCTGAGCTTCCCTTCAAGCTGAAGATCTTCTTGGTAGCCTGTATGGCTGGTTCCCAGTAGTGTTCCCGGACCAAGAATTGTAATGTAGGTAAGCAGGAAGCAATAATACCAACACCGCTCTCAACGATGCCCCAATAGAGATATTGCGTAACGACAACTAGATCACTGGTTAAAATTTGCGTGGGGAAAAGGCTTTGAAGTGGAGTGCAGCTACGCACGTAATCCATCGACATCAGGACTAAAGCCCTGAGAAACCAGCCGCGCCAAATTAATAAGTCGTAAAAGTGAGGCAACGATACTCCTAGAAACCAGTGCTTTAGTTGAAATCACCTTAACGAATGTCAGGTGGGACATAGCATACACGGATCCGAGTAAGAAGATACCAATAATGGAAATCTTTTTAGCGAACGATAAATTCAGCTGCCAGATCTATGGTGCCAGTTAGTATACGAGACTACTTTCACGAACTGATTCTCCTTACCAATGGCATTGGCGTAGTAATGATAATCAAGTCCAAAATGAACCCCGTGATGCACACCGAGAGGACCAAATGCATCGTGTCGACACAATTTTCCACAATCTCAATAGTCGAACCCCAGAGAGCCGAGAAATCGAGTCTGCATTGGAAGAGCGACGCGAAGAAGAACCCTGCCGATGGTAGACCTACGATGATGATGAGACCCATGATGAGGTAATTGGTTATGCTATTCTTATTGACGACAAAGATGCGCCGGTAGAAGAATAGGAAGCTGGCCTTGATGCATCCAAACGCCAACGGAAGCATAAGGTCAAACGCCCATTGGATCTATTCACTACAAGTTAGACAGGCATTCTCAGTCGAAGATGAGCGGCGGGCACCTTGCCTTGTAGATTAGGGAGATCTGGGGGGTTATGATTTCCAGGGGATTGCCATCAAAATCAGGAGGAATCTCCGTTGGGGCAGCTATTGAGCCCATAGCCACGCCATAAGTAATTGAAATTCCAATTGCCGTAACTAATAACTAATTCTTATGTTAGCAGGATGCTGTCTTGCTGAATTGGTCATATCATACTGTGGCCGGTAGCATAAGCCAGTGGTCCACCTTGGGAAGTTCCCTCTGCTTTTGTCGAGCCCAAAACCTCAAGGACACCGCAACAATGTCCAGAAGCGGCAGCAATATCGCAGCCGCGATAACATAGCCCGGCTCGGTGATGTAGTACCGCATTGCGATAAAAAGTTATATATGCAGACAATCTTCAAAGAAAGTAAGCCAATAATATGATTATGGTAGGTAGGCAAAGAAGGTCTATGTTGATAACAATGATTTGCTTGCCCGTTTATATACTTACATGTGTACTTACGTGAGTTGTGGTTCGAATGTGAGTCTCCCAGCCCCTTCAAGCTCTTTCTGAGGTGCGATATCCAAGCGTAGGGCCTGAGCGATTACTTATGACAGCCTAACGTGCACATGAGAAATCAATTTCACTATGAAAAGACCCGATTTGTAGCGTTATCATCTATTGCAAGTGTACTAAAATACATTTGGTCGAAACCCAAATGTAGCGCCGTTTGCTTTTGTTTAGATGGAGGGTAAGCAAGTTACGGAAGAGAGGCGACCTTTAGTTTCACTGCATACGGACACGACTCCTTCGTGGATCAATAATAATCTCGTCTGCAATACCTAAGAGTGGCGAGAATACAAACCGTTGATTTACCTGTGTCGGAAACACCTAGGTCACCTCACATGATCGCGTCACATGAATGCCTACTGCTCAGTCTGCTCTACCAGCAAACCGAAGTCATATCGCAAAATGATTGCGTATGTATATGAAATTATTTACATACTTAAAATCATGAAAGATAAATTCCTCGAGAGACAATTTACCCCATACCCAGGCACCGAACTGGACAAGGGATAGTATGGTTCTTCCTGCATACACCCGTTGTTCTTGTTATCTTTTGAGCTTCCCATGGCATTTGCCATACCATGTATGTTGGTCACATGTCCTATCCATTCCACCTGTGTCACACCTCCCTTGGTACCAGTTTGACTTTTATTCGTTTCGAATAGCCCTGTATGGACACTGTCCACCATCTCCGCGGTACTCTTATCCTAATCATATCTCTAACATGCCCATCACGAATAAATCCCTACAATCAGGAACTATTATACATGCAGCTTTAAGTTAAGGTGTTAAAATACATTTTCTAGGTACTTACCCATTACCTCGTTTTTCAGGATCAACGTTGCAGTCTTCTAGTATCTGTGAATAGATTATTCTAGCTGACACGCCAACCACCCTGCCTGTCTATTTGTCACATAATGAGTTATTTGCTAGCACGGTAGCACTTTGCTACGTTGCATATCTAACGGATGCCATACATCTTTGAGTGATTTGGTGTTCTATCGAAGAGACGGGTGGTAAATTATCGGTTTAATGAACGAGGGGTAAAAAGCTTCAATTTCTCTATAAGCAGAACTAGGGTCTCGCGGGCTACCCCATCGCGGGCCACCCATGTTAGCGCATTTTCTTTTAGCCACCTAATTTTTCGTTTATATAACAACGCAACAACCACTTAACTATAAAATCTTTTTTTTATATTAATTTATTTATTTTTAACTGAATTTTATTGTAATGCCTTTATTAAGCAATAAAAAACGCGCAATTGTTGCAATATGCAACATTAAACTTAGTATATTATAACGCTAGGCCGCTAAAAAATAAAATGTATTTAAATCTTATATTAGCTGCTGTTTAATTAAAATATTAACTTAAAAAAATATATATTAACACTTTTAAATATTATTTATAAATTTTAAAAAGCAATTAGTTATTTAAGCTATTAGCTAAGCTAAACTTAGCTTTGCGTTTGCAATAGTTACTTTTAAGCAAATAGCTTAACAGCTGCTAATAGCTTTAAATAACTTTTAGCAACTAAAAAAGCAATAGCATATATATTTTTTAGCTTAAAATAATAAAATAACTTTTATTAAAATTAAAATTATTAATTATAAACGCGTTAATAGCATAACTATAATTAATATTAACATTTTTTTTAACCGATTTAACGTTTTAAATATTATAAATATTTTAGCCTGCTATTAGTTTAACTTTAACGAAATAAAGGTTG